ATAAAGAATATCAGAAAATAGTTAGGGATAGGGAAGTGTCCCTTGTGTTGGAATTGCGAGTGAACCTTGGATAAACTTAACTGGCATCATGTTATGACCGAAGCCTGGTAAAATATTGGTTACCTGACGTGTACTAAATTATGCATGTCCGGACTTGTATAACCAGATTTGATATTAACTCATTACTGGTCATGCCAGACTCTCCCCTTCAAGAGCAAAATTATATCTGGCATTAGACAGAGTAAACTAATAAACCCAGGCACATTGCAGCTTAATTAATGGATTATTAATAAGAAATTACAAATGGTGTCATTCAAGTAGTGACAAAGAATTGCTATGTGGATTGCCATTATTTCTGTTGAATTTTTAGTCATTATTTCAAACTTGTCAAGTGAGTTACATTTTCATGCCACATGATTCAAGATCCACTTGTACAAACCTTTTAAATGGTTCAACAGAAAATGATAGTACGTGTTCTACAGTAATATGATCATATTTGATCAACTTCCTTTCAACACTGCCACTGGTTATAGACACAACAAATTTGACAAACCACCAGGAAAATAAGTAAGACTTATACAATAACGAGAACTTTCTTATTTCAACCATTTGTGGCTGTCAGTGACAAAAGATAATTGCTCTGTACAGTACGACTGCTCATATGTATACAAGTAAGATTAGATTATGTATTAAGTGAGACGTCTAGCTCACAGGGGCTTCCTTGTACCAGTACATCTATTAGCAATTAAAGTTTCTGCTGAATCAGAAATGCCATAATATATATCCATTTTATTCCTAAGTGTACAGTCATAAAATTACAGTGGAATGGCTGAGGTATAGTCAAAAACAGTGTGTTTGGTAATTAAGAAAAGCAATGGCAGAAAACAAAATTACTTACATTCTTGTATTTGAGGCCAAAGCATACAACTTTATTTGCCTCTTAAAAAGTACTTATCTTTCTTATAAACAACCATATTTAGTAGCAATAGTCAGTGAATTCATATAAAACACCTTTTAAAACAAACTTTTAACTGGGTTTTTTAACTGTGTAATAACTGTTTAAATTATGTAATTAAATACCACAGCAGTTTGAACAATTACGGCATACTAGAAATGCTCAAGGGAATATAATTTATAGCGAGTCTCTGAGTAGCATTCGACTTATTGTTGACAGCATCGTCATTGATGATGACATTGTCTTTCCTAAAATCACTAATATCTCAAGTTTCCAAGAACTTGTAAACATCTTTTGTCTCAATATTCTTTCAACTTGATAAACATCTCTTTGTTGTCATTTCCTTTTTAGCCATTTCACAGCTATGTGTCCCCAAATGCCAGACATTATTATTTTACTCTTAGCCAGACAATTTAACACATCAAGGATCGAGTGCAAAAGCATCTGACATTATTATTTTAATCTGTCTAATGCCAGACTGTCAAGTGAATTAGCAGTTTAAGCAGAATAATTCAGCACATTATGCCATGATCAGTCAATTCATGTGTCAATTGCAATTACATGTAGATAATTATGAACTATTTTGACTAAGCACACTGGTCGGATCATAATCATCATTAAAAATAGGCTGTTCCAATAAAGATCCACACTCCCCCTGAGAGATGAAAATTGATGTTTGGTCCAAAAATTGATCCACACTCCCCCCGACAGATGAAAATTGATGCTGGGCTGGTATTCCAAAAGTCATAGGTTCAATTCCCACAGTGGCCGGGCATATTTTTCAAGCTTGCCCAGTGTGGATATACACTCAGAGTAACATCACAAACATCATATTCACCTGAGTACATAACACCAACACAGAAATAAATCATGATCACTAGATGAAAATTGTTCCACCCAAACTCAGGGTCCAGGGGCAACAATATACTTCTCACAAAAGTATGTCCAAAGGGGGAAGGGGATTAATTTCCAATTTCCTCCATGGGGGAGGTGATTGGAAGTAAACTCCCTATCCCCATTCGATGTCTTAGTACGTACATTCTACTATTACCCTTTCCCCCCTCCGGACAGCAGAATTTCTTATGTGGGGAGTGTCGATAATTTCCTCTGACCCGTTTCACTATGTATGTTCCACAGCAGATGACTTTACTTGTCACAGGGAAATCCATTGAGCGTCATCGCTCTCCTCTTGATGAGTAAAATCATCTGGCGTTAGACAGAGTGAAATAATAAAGTAGGGTGGATTAGTGCACAATGCAACTTAATAATGGGTTAATGTTTGATGTTGGTTTAATGAAATAATTCAACATTAAAACTTCACACCAACAGTTGAGTTTCAATTTTAAATTGATCAGGATATTAGACTTATTTCCTACTGCAAATAATGCCAAGAGAAAAATGATCATTTTGGCCAAAAGCATAGCATTCTTGCCCCCAAGAATGACGTAAACAGGTCACATATTTTAAAACAAAGAATCTCATTCTGCCTGTGTTTAAATAACTCTTTATGAACTCATGAATTTCATTATGAAGTTAATACAAGTCAATAAAAGGCCTGTTATTTTAGTTGACAAGTAAATCTGTTGTCAAACACTCATATTGGTAAACCTGATGCAGTATCTCAGATATCTCACTTTAATTAGCCATGTTTTTGGTGAAAGATCCTTATAGCGCAAAGAGCGGAAGTTGTCGAATACTACATGATAGTCGCAAATCATAACAAAAGCCAAGAACAAGACACACCTCTTGGGAATAACTCTGCCATATAAGGCAATATACTGCTCGCGTGCAATGGAATTACCAAAATAATAACCGACCTGTCTCAGTTCAGCATAGTTTAACAACTCCGGTCTGTGACGATGAATAAGTGCACAAAATGCCAAACCATCCTTAAAACTACAAAATATTACAACAAACGCATTAATACGGAATCATTAAAAAAAACTAATCTACGGTTAACTTAATATAATATGCAAAAATACCAGAAGCTCATTTAGGGCCAGGAAGGTTCCGTATATACATTTACAAATACTGACCTTCGATGGAAGTTTTGGACATTCACGTTCTTATAGGGCGCCGTCTTTTTCTGACACCACAACAAAAGGCCATCTTTTGAAGATAACTCTGTTTGCAATGAGATTCACAGATTACAAATATTAATGACACGCTAGATTTGCCCATGCACGTTTTATTAAAACACGAAGATTATCCTTCTCAGTTTCTCAACAAATTGTGCAACCAGAATTGCTACATACCTTCTACTGCGATATCTTGAATCGCAAACCGTAAAATAATCGTCCAAATCATACCCAAAGTCATCTTCATATTACCATCGACGATCTCTATAAAGTGTATAGTATATGATAAATTTCTGTCACATAGTGAGATATATGATGCTAAATGAATATGTACACAAACTAACCTTCTGCACCGATTGACACCAATTTCACTCCTTTCGTGACGACGAACTCGAGCGCTTTCAAAACGTTGCTAATTTTGTGCACCCTCATTTTTCCTCGCTCAGGTTTGGGCAATCTTTCTCCGGATATAACCTCGAGTAAAATCATGAGCTTCAGGCCATCGCGAAAGTCTTCGTCGATGGTTTCGATTTGGACGCCTACTTTACGTAAATGCGAATTACACCAAGCAGTAAACGTCTAAAAAACGACACAAAATCACGACATGAACTCGCGAATCAATCACAAATTAAACGAGGTATATTTAATTGGTTTTATGCTTGTAAAGTATGCACAAATTAAGAGCATATATATCATTAATAATACAGACTTTAAATACATTTATGTGGCAGGCCGATGGACATCGACACGGGCGAAACAAATACCTTCTTTTGTTGATTTTCCCAAGCAGTATCCAATAAGCCTCGGTCTTCATCGTCGCCATAATAATAGCCATAATATTCCTGCTCTTCGTCCGCCATACTTGAAAGTATTCACTAGAATTCACCCAATATCCAAACTGCTTCGTCTCAGAACGAGGAACCAGTAATCCAACACTTCGAGGGATGGGGAGACTGACCACGTGATACGTATTACCGTTTAATTAATATTCCAAGAGAAAGAAGGCGCGATGCGGACGTTTGCGCTTCTGGTATTCAAAGAACGTTTCTTTTTATTTACCACGCTAAATCCACGCATTGTTCGAGGCAATAAACTATAATTATACAGCCGTGGGGGTGTCGCAAGCATTCGAGAACTTTAAGTAGTTATACTACAAAAACGCGTGCTGAAAACAAGTGATAACGAGTAAAAAACAAATAATTTCATTTCATTTATATGCAAGCGCGTCTGCGCAGTTTCAACACGTGTATTTTGAGTGCATGCCTGGGGTAAGATAACTCTTTGTACGTGTGCTGCACATCAGGGCTGCACAGTAAGAGTGTCTTGTGGCTGAAGCCCCATTCAAACGAGCCAACAGGCAACAGACTCAAACAGTATTGGACGATGTTGGATACGGAATAGGCTCGATTACCAGCTCTGGGAAGCTACCCTCAAGAAACGGCTGGTAATCGACGAGCCTAGATACACATGCGTCACACCGGTTAAACGAAACATTTGATTGAGGGACCTGGAGGGATAAAATCGGATTTGCTTATTTTTGGACCGGGAAAATTGCATGGGATTTGGGTTACTGGGATAGAGGGATTACAGGGACGTAGCGATAAGTGTGACTGTGCTGTTGAGGGGGTGAAGGGGTCAAATTAGCTTATATTTTTTTAATCCCAGTCCCAATGCAGTAAATGCCACTTTCCCAGTCCAAAAACGGCATGCAAATCCCAGTTCCCATTTTACCCTTTACGACCCTCCATATCCATATCCATATACCATTTGAAGACAGAAAGCTACGGAGCAACCATCGATTGAAAATTTGTTTGAAAAAGTCCGGGGATCGAGAGTCACATTATAAACGTGCGTTCTGCCTTTTCCAGGAGATACATGAAATCCCTGCTCTGGGGTTGTCTTTCATTTTCACACTTGTGACTGGGATTTCGTTTAAAAAATGGCTCGCAAATGAGATTTAGAGAGGAAAAAAATGGGCTTAAAATGCATGCGATTAAGACCCCCCATTGAGGACCCCCCCGAACCCCTCATTGCAATATTAAAAAAATACTACATGTGGAATCAAGCCAGAACGTTTCCATGAAACACCTCGAAATAGATACAACCGTCACTCGCTAATATTGATAAGCAATTTTTTGCATGCATGGCTCAATCCCGGGTTACACTACATTTGAAACGCTGCTTTTAGTTTAAACCGTAATTTAAAATTCAGGTAATTTGAACGCGCTATACCCCCTCTCCTCGCAGTCCGCCCACGACAAAGTCTTCGCACGCCACTTGCATATATGGATCAGCCCATGATGAGATAAACGAAAAGGCACTGTTACACGATACAACTTGTCTCGCAATTTTGTTTCGACAAAACATTTTTGTTGCAACAGTACGTACAAGCGAATAACTAGGGTTCGACTTTTCGCAACGATTGTGGATTTGTGGGAACGGCTGCAACACACACCAGTTATTAGTTGCATTTCAACACTTGCACAACATCCTTCTTGCAACGTACGGTTTTGTTGAGCAACCAATGAAACGGCTCGATCGCCATTATCCCAGGAACACTGAACGCTCTGAACCTAAGAGTTGCAGGTTTTGACTCGTTTCAAACATCAAACTGACGTTGCGTTATTTTCCCAATTTTTCAAGTTGATCCTCTTTGGATTTCATTGGTTGCAGTAATTAGGTTAGGGTTAAACAGGTCAGGCTCAAGTGTCCCACATTTTGCGCACTGAGAAAACAGGCTTTCTGGCACCCTTGTGTAGAAAAGTCTGAGGATAAAAGTAGGATTAGAATTTTAGGAAAAGTAGGAGTAAAGTAGGAAAATATGTAGAAAAATAGGACAAAAGTAGGAGTTTTTGGAGATGCAAATAACACAAAAATATACAAAATTGGCGCCCTAGCATATATGTGGTAAGGGGTGGACCATTAGATATCTGAAAGGAAGATTGTGTGAATTTTTGGTCTTAATCTATGTTTTTGGTGCTCAACATTTTTTTCTACTCGTTCATCTAAGCAAGATTATTTTCTCAAAACTTTTACTGAAATTAGATGTTAATATAGTCAATATAAGGCATCTGCTCTGCAGCAACACAATGGACGACTTGCGCTTTAGACTAAATTTTAATCTAAGTAAGAACAACGAAATCTATCACCACAGCTGGAAAGAGCGTCTTGGAATTAGTAATATTACAAAGTTTGGTTGCGAAATGTTGTAAAATACGGAAAATATAGCCCTTCAAAGTTGGCAAATTTGTATACTTTTGTATTACGTACGTGAATTGGTAACTAAACAAGACGCTCTGTTGAG